CTATTTTAATTTGGTGTCTAAAATTTATTATAAATAATATTTTTTTTTATTTTTTTAGCGACCGATTTTAATTTGGTCCCTAAAACTATGATAAATAATAATATTTTATTTTTTTAGCGACCGATTTTAATTTTGTCGCTAAAATTATTATAAATAATAATATTTTTATTTTTTTAGCGACCGAAATCATTCCGTCACTATTTTAATCAACAATTATTATTTTAGCGACCGATTATTTGCCACTAAAAAATTCGGTCGCTAAATTGGTCGCTAAATAAAATTTGCAACCAAATTTGATTCGGTCGCTAATTTTGTCGCTATTAGCGACGGAAAAAAATTGATCGCCAATTTCGGTGGCTAAATTGACTTTTTTTTGTAGTGAGAAAAAAAATAAACATTTTCTTTTCCTTTGCGGTCTTATCTCTCTCCCTTTGGCAACATCAAAAAGCCTAGAGTATTAAGATAAATGTGGTCTTTTTCCTTTTGTGATCCTTATTCTTTCTCTCCCCCTTAAAATTTAGGAACCAAATTGAAGTGTTTAGTGGACCAAATTGAATTTAATAAATAAATTAAGGGACTAGATAAGTAATTAAGCCATTAAAAAATAATATAATAGAAAACTTTGGTTAGTGACTAATGAAGGAATTAAAGGGTGATTAAAAATTAGATTTAGCTCAATTTAACACTCAAATCTTAACTTAGGTCCACTATATAACCCAACATAGAACCCTCACCTCCTTTTCATTCTTGTGTCTCCAACCTTTAGGGGAAGGAGAAAAAGGGTTTACAAAAAAAAAAGAAAAACTCTTCACTTGGTCTTCTTTGCTGGTGAGTTCTCCTACACCTATCCTCTTTTTTTCTTTTTCATTTCAATCTTCTAATCCCTTTTCACCTTCTTCATTTTCCATTTTCCATAAAAACACTTTGAAGTTTAGGAGAGATTATTAATTCTTAATACCCACCCTTCAAACTCTTGCTTAAAGAGGAAAGGAGAGAGGTTAGACTCATTTTTTGGATTTACTTTATTGTATGAAGGGATCCCTTATTCACTTGTCACATTTTGTTTGTGTTTTTGAGTTTGTATAGGTGTTGTTTGGAAAATATGACTATTGTCCAACACTATTTACAAGGACCAAGTCTTTATCTTAATATTTCAAAATGATGTATATATAATACATGAAAATGGTACTAGGACGATATATCTTACATTGATACTTATTTGTATATGAAAATGATTCAAAATAGAGTTGAAAAAGTCGTAAAATATTTTTCCTATCATTTTGACCTTTTTTTCCATTTTAATTTATCTTCTTTATTTTCTTTACTTTTAATTTTTTATGTTTTTAATTTTTTTTATTATACTCAATTTTTATATATCCTATTACTTATTGGCTTTCATATATAATTAATACCTTCCATAGCTAATCTTACATTATTTGTATGTTTTCCCTTAGATGTTGGATTATTGACTAAAAGATCCGATTTTATGATTGTTGAAGTAGAGGGTAGAGTGGAAACTCGTATGTGCATTAAGCTAACATAACCTATGTATGCTGTCATGTTAAAAATATATCCTAAATTTGTTGGTTTTAAACTTATATTCTAATGGCTATAAATATATATTTTTTAATCTTTGTAGAATCCAAATGTCCGGTTCCTACACTGATAATCTAATTGGTTATGATGAACAATATCATGATCTTTCTATTACAGCACTCAAATTTGCAAGAAAAATTCAATTTCATGGTTTTCAATTTAGACTTCAATCATGTAAATCGGATTATCCCCTTTTTCCTTTATCAATCACTTTTTACGAATAAGTTGTTCTTCAAAGTGCACTAACATAACTATTATTTTGATTAATTATAAGACTATCTTCAGTAGAGTTGCTTATAAGCAACCCCACTTGCTACATCAGCTTCACTTTTTCTTTTTTTCTTAAGAACTGACACTTAAAATTTACAAAAATTACTTATATAAGCACCGATTCTTAAGAAAAAGGAAAAAAGTTAAGCTAATGTGGCAAGTGAAGTTGTTTATAAACAACCCCATCAGAGATGATCTAAGTTGCTACACTTCCCAAATTACAATACTTACCTGAATTATAGAACAAGTATATACTTTTAATCACCACATACAATCAATTCTCAATACATTAAAATAATAAGCCATCTACATAATAATATGTCATTCATATTTATTTTTCATCTATCAACATAAAGAAATTTGGCTATGAAGAAGGGAGTAAGATCGGACATGCTTTGCCAAGCTTTATCATCCCTCACAAAAAGGTTAAAAATTTAAATTACTCTATATTAATAAAACAATTGTCAATTTTTAAACTTAAAAAATATATAAATTCAATTCATAGGACAATGAATCTTCATTTGGATCAACGTCAAAGAATGTTGCTTGATTCATTTAGATGAAAATTACTGAATCTATTTAGGTACTAATTATTATGTCTTTTATGTAATTTTATTGTATCCTATAACAAACTGCTAATGTATTCCATCGTACTATATTCCTATTTTTCCATTCTGTGATCTTATGTCCAGACTTTAAACACGTAAATCAAATTATTATTTTTTTATTTCTCTCCATTTCCGATTTATTAATTTTTTTTTAAAAAAAATTAATTTTTTTAATTTTTTTTAATTTTTTTAAAATTTTTATAAATGAGGTTTGACTTTTGCATAATATAACTACAATTTTGTTCTATTCCAAGGTGTAGCAATTCCCTGAGTTAAAGAACATCTGTATACTTTTAATCATCACATACAATAAACTCTCAATATTAAAATAATAAGTGATCTACATAATAATATGCCATTCATATTTACTTTCTGTATCAGCTTAAATAAATTCGGCTATGAAGAAGGGACTTATAAGATCGGATATTCTCCATTGCTAAGTTTTATCATCCCTCACCAAAGGATAAATATTTATGTTACTTTATATTAATAAAACAATTACAAATTAATTTTTAAACTTAATTAAAATTTAAATTCAATTATTAGGACAATGAATCTTCATTCAGATCAACATCGACCAAACAATCCTACTCGAATCATTTATATGAAAATTATTAAATCTATTTATGTATTTATCAAATTTTGTATATACTACTCCAATTCTTCATCACTCTTCATCACTAATCTAACTTTAATGGTTAACTGTATTAATTCCTATTTTGTTGCATATCTTTTAAATCCTGCTATATATATAATAATACATGTCAAATTAACTTTCACTACTGTTATTTGTCGCTATGTTTTATGTTATTTAATTTTCAATTACAATTTTTTTTTGTTATCATATAACAAATGCGCAAAACCAGTCAAATAATCCATGCGAACGCGCGGCACAATACTAGTTATATAATAATAATTTTGTAAACTTTAATTAAAATATTTATAACTATATTATATTTATAATATTCATTTTTCTATATACAAAATAAAATGTATGCAGCGACGTGCAATATAAGGTTACACACTAATTTACTATATATTGAAGGTTTTATATCTGAAGATCGAAAAGAAAATTTATTCAGTAAAATAATGGAAAACTCATATGAATTTAAAGTCTATGCACTAATTGTATAACGTTAATTAATTATAAATCATGTCATTGATAACTTTTAAGTTAGTTAATGTAAAAGTCACTTAGATTTTTTATGACAATATCTAGTTAGTTGACAAGGTAAAAACTTATTACATTGCATTAGTTTATATACTATTTTTTATTTTTGATTGTTGAAAACTTAAATTATTGGTATAAACTTCTGAGGTGTGCAACAACACTGCTCTAAAATATTTATTACATTTCTCATACAAGTCTCTAAATACAACAAACACGTTTCAGATAGGATTGATGAAACAAAACTACCCAAGAATTATTCAAGAGCCAAAAAAGAAGAGAAAAGTTTATTTCATATAGAGCCATTAAAACACAATAATTGAAATAATTAAAAGACATTTTAATAAACGAATCACAAACAATTAACATGCTAATTAAAATACAACGCTAATATAGTTAAAACATTTTAATCTTTGAATTTATAATTTAAATTGAGAAACCATAACGCTAAAACAAGGGTTTTTAGACAAACGTTGAAAACGAGGCCCATTATTACACGCACATGGTGCAACAGGCCAGCATGGCCTCAGATAGGACCGAGGAAACAAAAATTGATGACTACCTAGGAATTTGAGAGCCAAAAATGAAGAGAGAAGTCGAGTAATTTTTATGTAAAAATGCACAAAGTATTGAAGTAGTACACAATTCTTATGTTTAAATTTGGTGATTTAATTGTATTTTCATTGAATTAAAAAATAGAAGAATCCATACTGATGAATTACATAATAAAGTCCAATAAAATACACTAATTAAAATAATTAAAAGACATTAAATTAAATAAGATGAAAGGAATACAACTAACACGGTAATTAAAACACAACAGTATTGTAATTAAAACATTTTAATCTTCGAAATGATTGAAAAAACTGGCAATAATAAAACAAGGTTTTTAAGACAAATCTTGAATGTATATAATCTATAATAGATGATTTATATACTAATTATTTGTTTTATAAATATAATTATATCACTCTGATAAATGCAAGTTCATAGATAAACAGTGGTTCATGTAATGCCATAATAATAGTTAAGTGTCTTCATACACAACTCTACTTTTTAATTATTTTTTCTAACAACATAGATTGTTATCAGATCATACAATCATCAATATATAAGTATCCATAGTAAATTTATATTGAAAAAGAGAATTTAACGTCTTGGTCTAATGAGCATTAATCGAAAGAGTAGTAATAATGCATTTAGCCACCCGCTAATTCGATATATATAGGTAGTCATAGGCTATAGCGAATGATAATTTATTGATCACCTGCATCGACAAAAGCCACAAAACATGAAGAGGGAAAAAGAAGTTAGAAGTAAAATGTAGTAAGATTATTATTAAAATGTAGTAAGATTATTATTATTATTATTATTATTATTATTATTCAAATAAAGCTTCTATATGATTATGAGGTAATAAAGTATACGTACTACAAATTTCAAAGTTTCAAAATCAAGTATATTGTGGACAAATATGCAACGTAATCTCAATTATGATTGACAAGTTAATTAAAAGCTGGCGATGTTAAATGTTCAAAAAACTATTTTTTTAGCTAAAAAGTTGTTAGTTTAATTTATCGAATTATAAGTATTTGATTATATAAAAGGATATATATAATTTTATTTTTAGATAATCATCCTTTAAGTTTCTTTTTTAAACTCTTAATATCTTTGTATAAAAATAACATAGATTAAAATAAACTAATATACAATTATAATATAAATACTGTAATGTTGAAGCAGTACATAAGGAGTTTTATTATTGTCCTAATTAATTTAAAAATGATAAAAATATGTAAAGTTATACTCAACGCTATTTCAAGCAACATTTGGAAAAAAAAAATGTCATGAATAGTTAATAAAATAAGTTTATTTACCACTAGTTTAATGAAACAAAAATTATAAGTTAATTAGTCAAATAAATAAATTATGAATTAGAAAAAATGACTTGTACCGTAGATTTTAGGTCATTTTATAAATGTTTTAACTTTGTTGGGGAAGGGTATAGCAGAGGGGGACCATACAGTTTTTGGCTTTACATGCATTTTCTATTTAATAAACCTGTATATGCCTTTTGAACAATTCTGTTTGGTATATAAAAGCAGGTCAATGATATATATAAATATACAATGAAATGAAGATATCAAAAGTAATAAAAATCATGGAAAAAAGAAATAAAGTTTTTGGAAAGATGAATCTGTATAGATCCTTTGGAAATGAAGAAAGTGAAAGTAGAAGACATGCACTTACCCAAGATGAAGAATCTTCTTATCTGACTGAGGGTAGACAGATCCACCTTCCATCATGTTTGGATTGAAGAAGTTACGCGAAGCCAATGCCTGAATGGCATTCAGCTCTGGTCCAGAAACCATGTTTACTTGCTGAAGCCTTTCAACGTCAGTTATCTAAGAATCAAGTTTTGACAGTGAGATCATGAAAATAAATATACTATTGTCAAACAATATATACGTAAAATAATTTATAAAACATCAATTTTTTTTCTCCATCTTTCTCATACAATTTGTTGTATAAGAATCATTTCCAAACAATTTCAACAGTTTAAATAAGACATCAAAGAAAAGTAAAAAGATAAAAAAAAAACGAGATTTATAAGGGCAAAAGCAAATTCTCTGTAAGCAAGAAGCTAGTAATATTTATTTCTAAAGGCAGAAGGGTCTATTTTCATCAAATTTTTTAGCAAAAAAAGTACTAGTATAAACTATTCCTTTAGTCATATAAATCATGTATCTTTTACTTCATTTTTTCTTTATTTCTTTCTTAGTCGCAATATTATATATTACCTATATATTATATTCTTCATTAATTAATTTCTCTTTTTTCTTCTTTTATTTTCTATTCTCACAAGATACACACCTATAGGCTGTATACGAATCATGCATTTACAGAATTCAATTTAGTATGTTGTAGATGAACTTTTGGATATGTATTAATATATAATGTAATTTTAATAAATATGTTACTTTTCCAATTACTTTTCTATTGAAGAAATTTTGGTTTGCCAAAAATTTTGTGCAATTATATTTTTGTTTGTATAATTATATATACTATATATAACTGTAAACGACAATTTAAGATATTAAACAAAACATTAGAGTTGTTGATTCATACTTACCAAAAGAAAGAACATAATTGTTCCAAAAATAGTTCCAAATTGAAAATATAATATATATATATATATATATATTATTTAATTTTAAACGAAATTGCTAAAAGTAATTAATAGCTAGATAAATGGTTTTACCCTATTTAGGACGAATATTTTACCTTAACCTAGGTAATTGACCAGGGAAAGAAAAGGAAATTGTATCTTCTTACCTTAGTCCGAAGGCAAAGGTTTTCATTTTCCAGCTCAATCTCCTAATGCAATAATGCATGCTATCAGTTACCAATAAATTTTGGCTGAAGAGAGATCACAATACTCCTTTCCCTCCCCCTCCAAGAAAAAAAAAAAAAAGAGATGGAAAATAAAGGTTGAAGAATTAATATTAGTTCATGAATTACCCTTTTCTGGAAGTATTCAATTTCTGCCAGTAGCATCTCATGCTGTTGTAAAGGAAAAAAGGAACACGAACATTATTAGTAAATAGAGGTCCAAAAGATTCAATCATGTTATAATATAATCAATGCAAAAAAAGGAAGTTGTGAAAAAGGTGAGTTTATGTGTGTGTAATTTATTTTTCTCTATACGTAGTATGTTATAAAACTCGTTATTGGACAATTAATACAGAATTGAAAGGAACAAAAATCAATCAATTTTCTAGTAGAAAAATCTCAATTTAAAGGTAGAAGTATCTTAAAGAAATGCCAATGTATGTCACGTTTGAGCACTGCAAATTAATTAATTAGTGTATGATCAATTACATGCTATCAGTCCTTAATTTCATCTTACTTTCTTAGATCTGATTCTAGTGATTCCTCTTTCAAGTCTATTCTCCAACTGCTTAAGTTCCTTCACAGTCAGTGTGCTTAAGGCATCACCCATCAGGTGCCTACAAAAGTCATAAGAGGGAAATAAATTCACAATCTCTGTACATTGTTTACTTAGAAGCTTCAAGAGAAATAATTAATGTGATAGAAAAAAAATCACCTGTTAGAATTTTGCAGCATCTGTATTTGCTGTCGCAGCTTTGCAGATTCTTGTTGATAATACTGTTTTTCAAAGTTTACAAAGACACAGAAGGACAAGCATGATAGTTAGGCAATAGATTAACGTAAAATTGAACCAATTCAAACTATTTCATATCGATCAGATGAACAGTGCATGCGATTACCTGAGCATTAATTTCGGTGGTAGTGCTCGTACTTGAATGATCTGAACTTGCCTTTTTGTACCTCTCAATAGTTGATCTTATGCTGTAATCATAAAGACCCAAAAGTCAAAAAGAATGAACCATTATTTATTTATTATTTTCTTTTATTAAGGTGAATGGATCATTATGGTTACACGGAGAAGTTCATTTGCATATAAACATTATTCAGTATTCACGTTGTTATTCATACTTTCACTTCAATATTGTACAAATTTTACAACACCTTTTCTAATAATAAAATAAGATAAGCATATCTCCCACTCCCAGAACATAATCTCTATCGTTTTCCAAACCAATAGTTACAATGAAACTGGCGTGCAAGAGTCTTATACCTCCATTTGTAAAGTTAAAAAATGCTTGTTATTAAAATTTATCAACTAATAGTATCGCAAAGTTATTAAAATATTTAATAGTGGGTAACATTGTATCACAAGTAATTAATAATTTATTGATATACTTGAATAATATATATATATATATATATATATATATATATATA